TTTGGTAAAGATTTCTTAGATAAGTAGCAGCTTTTAAAAGATAAGAAGTTCTTATAGGGTGGACGGAATTTTCTGTCCCCTGCTTAAAAACTTCCTGAGTTTTTCACAGCTATACGCAAAGTAAGTGCAAAGTTAACTTTAGACAAAATATCTTAGAATATTTACTACGATCACTGTTGGCTTTAGTCGAGTTTCGCCGTTTTATTCAAACTTTAAATCAAAAATATTCAAATCTGTAAGCTCATCCGCTGAATGCAAAGCTGTCAGAAATATGTTCGTTGTACGAGATTGCACCAACTTTACGTTTGCAGCCAATAATTAAAAATCCATAAATAAGCTCCCAATTTATAACTCCAAAACTGAATTTATCTTGCACATTAAATCATACATTCAGACTTAGTTTGAATGTTTTAACGCAGCGACTCAGTTGCAGGTTACGTTTCGTTGTGTTCGATTTCCGTCGCTTTTGTCCCTTTTAATTTTCCATTATTTCGTCGTTCGTGAAGCGACTGAAAAAGAAACACGCATTTTAAAATCACGATTCTTTAGAAACAGAATAACAAAAGTGACTTATTCTTCTGCACCTATTGTTTGTTGCGAACGCCACTCGGTTAAAAAAAAATCATTAAGGCCTGCCATTTTTACCTCGGTGATATTTTAAGTAGTGGAGTGCTCCTGAACAGCTTACTTGGCTCCCAAGCATTTTGAAGTGGAAATGTCCAACGTATGTGCGATTGTTGCTTTTAGTGTAAAGGGCTGCGGTTAAAATGTCACGTTGTACAGGAGAGAGGGGAGATAACACAAGAAAAGTGTTAGCACATGGGTATTTTAACTTGTTATTTCACGCGTTTTCTTCATTTTTTAGAAATTTAACTATTAATTTAATTTAATATACAAGTGTCCATACTAATACCATATTTTTGCATTAAAATACAAATATGTTTCATTTATATAAAAAATTCAAATTATTTAACTTTTGGCCGCACAGGCAGGATATCTAGAAGTATTCTCCAAAAAGCCACAATCTTATAAATTAGTTATGAGATCTCCAAAGAAAAAATTAAGGCTGGAATATGTAACTTAATGGAACCGGCTAAATATATTATTGAAGGCTTTGATGGTGCCTTTCTCTTCGTCTTTGAACAAATTTCCGAGTTCATGGAGGAAATTGTGGGACAGCTTGATGTACTCACGATTGCTTTTAAATACAGTCCTGATTTTAATGTATGTACGCTAATATCGCTAAATTACACTGTTTAGAATCTACATCGTGATTATAGAAGGGAAGAATTCGCATTCTTTAAAAAAAAAAGTATTTAACGGTATTGGGATCAAAGGTTTTCTCCGAACGAATCAGTTTATCTCGCTGAATTTAGTTAATGTTTGAATACAGTCTGTAAACAGTGGCTTGATGATCACAGTGTTTCATGTTTTCTAAATGTGTGTAGTGCGTTGATTACACAGGTATTGGTTATCTCAAGATATTGTTGGTGGCACGTAAAGTGGAAAACATACAATATGTAGGATCAATATTACCTGGAAATTGTCAGCCGAACTGTGGAACCTCGCATCACGTCTCGGTGAATATTGTGAGTCAATAGTGAATGTATTTTATGCCCTGTCAAGCACAACCGAGACCCTTGCTGAGACGCTACTAGCAATTGCATTTGTATGTAATTTTAATTTTTTAAAGTAAAAGTTTTGTCATGGGGCTGTTTTCGTTTGGACTTTAGTTTCGGAGAAAATCTAATATCAAGAAAAAAGTTGACGAAAATCACACAATTTTGTGAAAATTGAAGTGTAGAAATTCGATAAAATGCTGCCAAAAACTTCTATTTGAAATATTCCATAAAATTACTAAAAGATATCTATAGTTAATTTCTGTTTTCTATAAATTTCGGGCAAATTTGCCTCATTTTCTTAAGTTAAAATAAACCAAGATCCAAATAAAATGCAATTTTATTTTTTGACAGCAAGTATTTGGGTACTTTAAAGTTGTCAAAAAATGACAAAGGCGTCCATACTTGCGAGGAGTCAATACGTTTGTCTCATATGGCGTTGTAAATACATATTTAGAATATAATATTTCCATTATTAACAGACTTATTGTTATGAAATTTTAAATATAACTTGTCCACAACCTTCTCTACATAACGCGAGGACACTTTTTTAATTTATTGTCACCTTTTTTTTAATATTTTAGTGAAATTTTTCATCACGTATCTTTAAAAATGTGTCATTTATGTATGGAAATTTCGGAACGCGGTTTTCACCACTATTTTCAGCTTACAAAACTACATATAAATCGTACCGAAAACATTGTCGACTTTTTTCGGAAATAAGATATGATAACAGAAAATTATATCGAAGAAAGAGTTGATTTTTACTATTACCTCATTTCCGACCAAAAAAAAAAAAACAGATTAATGTTTTCGATGCGATGTACTCACTAAGCGCGCGCTCCCCGATATTTCATTAATTATGAGAAATAGAAAAAAAAAAGTTTAAAACTAAAATTGTACAGTTCTTTGAGGACCATGTATTAAAAGTACATATTTTCAACTGTACTTAAAAGTATTTAAGGCGTAAAGCGTAAAGCACAACTTAGTTTTTTCAAATAAAATGCACATGGTATTCTTATACATTCTGATTGACCAATTCTTAAGCTTAATAGCCATAGTTTATTTTCGAAATTCCGATGCGATGTTGCTAAGTTTAATTTTTTTAATTTGATAACGGAATGGTTCACAAAAAAATTGCAATAGTTATTTGTAAAATCTGAATCACAATATTTTGTGGATAGATTAAATAAGGATGTTAACTTTATTCTGGTATAAATAAAATTGGGTTTTAGTGTGTAGTGTTTATGAAAAAAAAAAATAATTAAATTGTAACAATTTTCAAATATCGATATTTTAGTTTTTTGGAATAGAATTATTATTTTTTGTTCTTTTTTTTTGTTAAATATTTTCTATACTTCTATATCTTTTTATATAGTTGGAATAATGTGGCAACGCAGCATCGGAATTTCAAAATGAAACTAGGGTTATAAAACCTAGGTGGAGCCTAATATGTATATAAAAATTATGTAGGTATTCTATTTAAAAAATGTAAGTTATGTGCTATGCCTCGAAAACAAAGCACTCTGGATAGACGAAAATAATTTTATTGTATGTTATCCGAAAACTCGCACAATTTTAGTTCTGACTTTTTTTCTACTTCTAAAAATGAATGCGATATCGAAGACCGTGCGCTTAGTACTCACCCTGTATAGATTGCTTTGTAAGCTAAAAACAGTGGTGAAACCTGCGTTCCGAAATTTCCTTAAATAATTGAGATATGTATTTTTAAACATAAGTCCGTGATGAAAAATTTCACCGAAATTTTAAAAAGAAGGTGATAATAAACGGTGATAAACTCTTTATAAAAAACTGTAATATTTAAAATTTTATGGTAATAAGTCTGTTTATAATAGAAATATTACATTCTGAAAATGTATTAAAAATCCTAGGCCCCAAACCGGACTTAAATACTGTTTTAAAAATTCCACTCTTGTTCTGAGAAATTATAAAAATACAAAATGAGAGAATTCAAAAAACACGTAGAAATATTCGAATTTAATGAAAAAGTGGTCTTTGTACTACGAAAAATATCATTTTTTATCATGAATTATAACTGTTGATGGTTCAACAGGTGGTTACTACGTGTAAAAAAATCCATTTGTTAAAAAATATGACTGTAGCTGTAGAGTTTCGTTTGATTTTAGCATCATTTTTGATAAATTACACTTTTTCTTCTCTTAACTTATTAAATAGAAGTTAAAAAACAGCAATTAAGACCATTACGAAATTCGAAAACTACCAGGAAATTGATAAAATAGTCAACACGGAGCATCGTGACTTGAAAAAAGCAAACGTGTTTTGTCTTTGGTGTAATGTAACCTCGTCGTCTCGGTCAATAAACACATCGCCGTAGAACTGCGAGCGTCCGCCGGAAATAATTCAAATGGATTTTGTACGATAACCTCAAAACGCAAAACCGGTGTTTGCTCACAAGTTGATTATTAGTACAGTCAATCCAGCATGGGAGCTTGCATTTTGTGTAGGCAGCATTTTTTGTAGGTTTCGTAAAGATGGCCGCCGTGAGTGTAAACGTGTAAACTCAGTTTTCGGGACTGGGGAGTGTTGTCATTTGTCGCCATCTTGAAAATAAGGATGCGATTATTTTTTTGATTTATCTCCGTAAACGTGAGTTTGGCAAAAAATTATGCAGGACATTTTTGTAGAGAATATAATGGTTTGCAACTTTTGTTAATTTTGGCGTGATATTAGTAATAAATTTGAAAAACGAGGGACGAAAAACGACATAACGCTTGAAGAGAAGATATTTGTTATTGGAGTCCACACTTATGTTGTAAACCGGTTTAGGAGGGTGGCAGTGAAGAAAAAAGGTAAAGCCTTAAATTAATTATCAGTTAGGTAATGGGGGAAACGGAAGATTTATGGGAAATGGAAATGGAACATGAAACAACACAGCTACAACGGGCGAATTATGGTTAACTACATAAGAGCGAACAAAACACACACGTGAAAACAAGATTTAAGAGATCTTTCTTTGTTTTTCATCGAAAGAAGTGTTCAGCTCCACTTAATGCTACCTTCATTTTTGTTTCACTGTGTTTTATTTAATCGTGTTGTATTTATTATTATTATTAATGTTGCTGTAAAAAGTAAATATTACTATCTACAAAAATCCTGCTCAAATTTTTATCAGCCTTAAGGTTACGGTGTTAAACGAAAAAAAGTAGTTGCACCCTTAATTTTAAAAACATTCCCTTTCGTTTATAATATTGTAGTTTTTAATACCACGTAATCCCTGTACAGTCAACGATTGTGACAGCCCACCATTCGAGTAACAATCGCAGATGCGTTAAAAATTTCCACTTCACGACGCCTGCGAGTACGCCTTCGGGGCGGGCACTCTACTATAATAACTTTCAGAGGACGATGCCTCTTTAATTTCGGTTAAGCTACCTCCCACAATGGCCTGGGGTTACTGGAGCGCCACGACGGTATCGGACCGCGGCCGCAGCCCCCGACGGAACCAGAATGGCACGGTCAACCACCAGCAGAGCATGCCGGTGACCATCGAGGACCGGCCGTCGGTCTCGCAGACGTACGCCGGTGTCCCCGTCAACTCCAACAACAACAATACGTCTTCGTCGACAAACACCACGGTACAGAGTGAATTCGAGGAAGTGCCAACGTTCTCCAGACGGCCTTCCCTGGACCTGACGCTGGTCGGTCCCCAGGGAGCTCTAGCGGGTATTCTGTGTGCCGCGCACAGTAGCAAGCAGGGAGGGACGCTGTCGGCGGGTAACACTTTGACGAGGGTGGGCAGCAAGCACACGGCGGTGGAATATGCCGTGCCGCACCATCTCTATCACCATCATCCGACGTACATTGAGTACCATCACAAACAGTTGTCGTTTTCGGATGACGATAGTAGTTCTGAACCAGGATACGCCACAGGTTTGTATATTGGCTCGGGTGTGTGTTCGTTTGGCATTGACCAGTTATGACCACTGACCATTATTGCTGGGAGCGCTAAATGGGAACATGTGCGAAGCGCGTACATGCTTGACTTACGGGACTATGGGGAGCTGTAAATTGTTGATGAAAAAATATTAACAAATAGCGTGTCTAGACTGGGATGACGTTATTTTTGATGATATACAAGGTTGCTTTATGGATTAGTAGGGTGCTATTACGCAAGTCCTTTGTTTATCTGGTTGACCTGAGATGCAATAAATCTTAGAGGCGTTTTTATGACATTTGCACTTTCATCGACTATCGATCAACAACGCACCTACGTTTTATAGTGTGTGAATATTTACACTCAGTATAACGAGTCGTCTATGAAAATACGAATAACCTAAAAAACAGCAGCGATGTGACAACCCAAAATAATGTTAATGTAAAATTAATATTTACTTATAAAAACACTATGCCTAAAACATTATTATCATTATTAAAATTATTATTTTGAAATCCTTTACTTACTGAAACGATAGGTATTCAAGCAAAACTTTTATCATGACAAATATTAAGACTGCGTTGTATTAATTGATGAAAATAATGACAAAAATAGACAGCATTGATTGAAATTGATTTGTTGGCCATTACTCCCAGGAGTCTCAAATAGCTAGTGTGGTCAGCGGTCGTAATTTAGTTCTCGCCACCACCAAGCGTGATGTTGCCACCAGTCATTTTCTTTTCCTGATAGGAATCAATTTTGCACATCACAAGTGCATCTATGGGCTTAGAATGCTCAAAAAACAGATTGGAATATAGCTGAGTAAGTTTTAAATTTCAGCAAAAAAATTATTTCTAGATACAATTTGAAGGTTTTCGTAGTATTTTGTATCCCATTTGATGGAGGAATCGTTGAAAGTACAACAAAAATTGTTCAGTTACATTTCTCATGTTTTTGAATGAATATCTTAAAGCTACTGTAGCCAAAACTTGGAAACTACACCCAGTCGTCTCCTTTTCAAGAAAAGAATCAATTTTGCATAACAAGTGCATCGATGGGCAATTTCAACAAAAAGTTGATTTATAGCTAAATTTTGAACGTTTTCTTGGTATTTTTGGGCCCGTTGAGTGCAGGAATCTATAGAAAATACAAGAAAAATTTATTAAAAATTACGTTTCTGACGTTTTTGAACGAATTTCTTAAAACTACGCCAGCCAGAATAAGCAAACTATATCCAGTCGTCTCCTTTTCCCTACATTTTGAATATTTTCTTGACATGTCCGAGTTCCTGGATGCAGGAATTTCTATTATAATTTTTCCAGTATTAGAAAAATTATTAAAAGTTACGATTCATAAGATTCACGTCCATTACTATGAATGTAGATAAGATGTAATAAGCTAATGAGGAAGAAGGACAAAACACTATTCTGATTATTTAAACTAACGTTTCGAGAACTATATTTTCTCTTCTTCAGGGCTGTAATGTGTGAAATTTGTATCTAACATTTTATGAAAATTAAATCTTACATTTTCCACTTGACATTTGTTTCATTAACTAAAACAATTACGTTAAAACGGTTGAATGATGAAATGTCAAAATTGTCAGAAAAAAATAAAATTTGGGTTCTTGGTCATTGTTGTCAACACCGGATAAATTTACTAAATGATATAACCTCAATAAAACAAAAACCAAAAACCGTGAAATACTAACAACCCCCTGTCAATGTTAATCTCCAACTAACAATCCAAAATATAGCCTGTTGAGAACGCTGACGTCCTCTCTATGATTTAATGAGTTGTGTGTAAGTATATGAAACATTTCACTAATATTCGTTTTGTACTTTGCTTAAAAATTACATTTCTGTTGTTTTTGAACCAATTCAATGAAGCTACAACAGCTAGAACTTGGAAGCTATACCAAATCGTCTCCTTTTCCCAAAAGAGTCGATTTTTCATAACATAAGTGCATCTATACTAAACTCACTTGACATACACCTAGCAAAAACTTTTATGACTTAAGCGGCTTAAGCCAAACCATCCATATAGGTCAAACTGACTATTGTATAACTTAACTCAGTTGACATCTACCTAGTAAAACTTTACAGATCCATTATGGCAACAATGGACAGTAATAATCCTTGCGCTTCGGGTCCATAACTAAGATTACAATAGCCAGTTTGACTTCTAAGGGTGGTTTGGTTTAAGCCGTTTAAGTCAAAAGTTTTACAAGGTATATGTCAATTGATTTTGTCATTTGAAAAAAATAAGTTTTAGTTTTTTGTTTTAATTGTTTATTTTGTACGTAAAGTTCGAATCAGTTGTAATTTTTTGAAATAATTTCTGTCTTATGTTTTTAATAGTTGATTAAACTCTAAATTTTATTTTTGACAATACCGTGGGAGAAAAATCTAGGAAAGTTATTTTTTTCAAATTTCTACTAATAAAATGCTCATTTTGTATGTTAAATCTCGCTATTAAAACAATAGTTTAATCAAAAGGATGAATAAAATGTTTATAGCGACACTTTATTCACACTGTCATTGACAACACGAATAAAGTAAAAAAAAACTAAAAATTCGCACTACCACTGAAATATTCAACTAAAATTTGCAACGCTTGATAGTCCACCTCCTGTAAAACAATCCTAATGAAAGTACAGGCAGCGTAGGCAATTTATCTTCTTCAAATGTTCATCATATTAGTAATAGTACAATTAATATTTATGTATATAGATTACCTAAACAATAAATTTCTTGAAAAATTTTGCGAAATTGGAAAAAATCTTGTATGATACACGTGAATAACCGAATTTTATCCACTCAAAAATATTATCACACTCAGCTTCGCCTCGTGTGCTAAACTGTTTCTTCGTTGGATAAAATTCACTTTTATTCACTTATACCATAAATAGCTATTATTTATTTCCGATGTGATCAAATTTTGTATCGAATTGCGGAAATTTGTCAGATTTGCGAAAATACATCATATAAAATAAAATGAAAAAATTAAACTTAATTCAAAATGTTTTCACAAAAAAAAAATATTGTTTCGAATTTTTTCTGCTTGATATTCCATTTTGAGTGAAAATGGCTGTACCGTTGGTATTTCTTATTAAGTTTATCTAAAACTATTTTTAATGATGTTAAACAGGGCGTTTCTTTTATTTCATACAACCCCTGTAACTTTTTTATTCTTAAAGGTCAACTTGTAGTTCTTTGAGCAAATTTGTATCATTTTAAAAGATCTGTGTAATGGCAACCTCACATTTTTATTGTCACTTCCAGTAGAACCGGAAATGACGTCAACTTTATTTTTTTATGGAACACTAAGTATATTTTTTCATAAATGGAAAAACTGATTTTTCTAAAAAAAAAACAAACGCAACCATCAAAATCAATACCTAAAAAGTTATTCAATAAAATAGACGAAAAATTAATATTGATGACAATCTTATAGCTTGAAAAATTGACACTCATGTCATTTATTCGCATAAGTGATCTTTTAAAATCATACAAATTTACCTAAAGAACTCTATGTTTATCTTTAAAAATAAAAAAGTTACAAGGGTTGTATCAAATAAAAGAAACACGTGTTATATTATTAATTACAATGGAATGTTATTTGTGAAAAATTCATTGTTTGTCTTTTTTACTTCCAAAACCTAAGCTAAGGAATTATAGTAGGATTTATCCGAGGAATGGCTACTTTCATGTTTTCTCGACATTTCTTGTCACCTTCAATTTTTGCGTAGTAAACACCATTTCAATTTTATAAAAAAATACTCCTGTACTTGTATTTTATGGATCCGCCTTGTTTTTACTTATTATTATTTTTACTGTTTTATGTTGATTGGATCATTTTCAAATAAGAAAACTCACTAGAAAGTAGGTATAGCCTTGCGCTTTATCATATTTTTGAACAATTGTTTGACCGTTTATCCAATTTCACCGAAACTGATATTGGTATTATCGCAATTGAAGAAAGTTATTGAGAATCATCCCATTTCCTCGAAACTTTTAGTGCAACACTGATGTTTAGTACTTTATTGTTTGCAATTGCGTATGCAGGGTGATTAAAAAAAAACTGTTCATATTTTGGATCCTCCAAATATTTGTGTAACATTTTATCAATGCAGGTGCAATCGAGTCTTCGTTTCCTATCTTCGGTGGAGAAGTGCGAGCTGACACTCCGCGTCAGACCAAATATAAACAAGTCAACAGATTGTGTTTTCGTAAGATAATGCATTCGAATCAAAGGCAGTGGCGGAGTATGAATGAATAAAGTATGATACATTGATATACATATAAAATTTGTACTTCTCGAGCGTAAACTACTTTATTAAAATGTCCCATCATAGAAATCTGGTGAGAACGAGGGAAGTACTGTCTAAATTTTTCTCGATCTATTTAAATCAAATTCAAATCTGAAATACAAGGCTAAATATGACAATATTGTGTACCATGTTCCCAGATTATCGGGAAAATTAGGAAAGCCGTTTTTGATTTAACCAAGAGTATAAATTGCTATAATCAAGCAATATTTATTTGTACTATTTATTTATTAATTTTTGAGATGACGATGACGATGACCAAAGGGGACGATTAATCAAATTTGAATTGATGTTCTGGAATCATTTAACCAATGTTTGTGGCTTATCGAAATTTCAGAAAATTCGTTATGTCGATTCTAGGAAAAATTATAAGTATATATAATTTTGAAATGATTTTACATCAGATTTTTGAGAAACCGACCAATTTTGGTTAGCATTTGACCGTCTGATGTGTACTTAATTTTTACAGTCGCATAATTTCGAAAATTATCTATCCATATAAAATCCCCAAAAGGCAGGCAGAAGGAAATGGGCGACCGACATTTTCTTATTCTATAAGCTGTGAAACGTCTCGAAAACATGAAATAAATCATTCGTCAATATAACCCTATTCTCTACTTACTAGCTGCTATAATATATGAGGTGTCATATTTTATAAATATTTTT